CAGCAATTTCTAATACATTTAAATGCCATTAATCAAAGTTATATTTCAGTATCCCAGTATTTTGTGATCATAAACAACAGGAATTGAATCAATTTATACGACTTAGAAGTGTGGACAGTAGATCAGTAATTCATTACAAAATATCTTTGGTATTGTTTTGCTTTAATTAATTTAATTTACATGAATTAACGGAAAGAAAAATAAATGATCTAAAAAAACAAAAATGTATTCATGGATATATATTCAGATAGATCAATCGATCAATCGATCTACAGGAGCATTTCAGTGAATGGTAGCTATACTTCTTTTTGATCATAGTTAATCTGTGTTGCTAATAGCATCAACTCTGGAGACTTCTGGCCCTGAAGGGTGAGTCTTTGAGCTACAAGTGGGGGAGAGAAAGCCCACTTTCTTTGTCCCAGGCTCAATTCCATGTCATAGGAATGGACAGCAGTTAGAAAGAATAAGAGCTCACTAAATTTTGTCTCAGTGTTGAATTAATACATTAAGCTTTTTACACGTGGGGGCATTTCTGTTTAGCTTGAGGTCTAAACCCTCCCATGATATAACAGTAGGCAATCTCTACTAAAGAGTGAAAACATTAATGAGAGCAAGATTTCTGCCCAGCCAGGTTAAGTGGGTTTCCTGGAAGAAAGCAACTTCCGGCCTTTAAAGAATTGAGATAGGTAACTGTATGGTGTTTGGTAGGTTTTCTTAGCCCTTTTATGTTAACATTTACTAAATTCATTGAAAAACTTTTGTCTGGCCTGTTTTATAATGTTATGCACCTATTTCGTGATTGTGGAGATAGGTATATTAAAAATATTTGCCCTAATCCAAGGATCTAAATATGAATTGGTAATACACTCAGATAAGCAGCAGGCTGTTTCTAGTGTTTTTTGGGTGGTTGTTTAATTAAAGGCAAAAAAAAAAACAAACCCAAAGGAAAGAAATTTTATAAAATACACACACCCCCTCCTACTTAAATACAAGTAAAGCTAATTAACTGGAGAAGCTGATCAGATAGAGTCCTTTTAAGTTCCATTAAAAATATTTCAGCCACTGCCAGAATCTGGGGTTGCTTGATTTGAGTTAATGCAAGCTAAAATGGAAGGAAAATGAAATTAGTGTTGAAGCTGGGATTTGGCCAAACCACCAGCTTTGTTGTAACTTTTTCACTTTAAAGCTACTTATTTTGGAAGATCAGGGAAAACAGGGGAGGGGGTGTGTGTTCCAGCAATGTTTTCACTGGGTCTTGCCTAAATCTGTGAAGGATTTCATTTTTATACACAAGAACTGCCCAATGATTATATTCATTCCAGCTCCTGATCTCCATGCTGTGGGCATTTTATTAATCTGTTCTTTTTCAGTTGAAAAGTCTGGAGTTAATGCTAGTAAATCTCAGGGCGGGGAGTGGGAGAATCCTCCATAAACTCCAGCAAAGAAACTGATGCTGGCAGATCTTGTTTGCCCATTGTCTGGATATTTTTCATTTGTAAATGAGATTCCAAAATAATAGTAGAAGAATTTAAGATCTGATGACTCACCAGGATTGCGGTTTCCTGTGATCATTACAAATGATCTTCAAATTGATTGATCTTTTTAACTATATTTCATAGAGTTATTGATTTCAGCAACAGCTGTCTGAAGGGATGTAAGAAACTTCTGCATAGGTTTCAAAGCCTTTAGTAGAGAGCGAGAGTCTTTTAATAAAGTTGTTGTAGGTTCCTTCTCATGAGGACGAGATAAAGCTGATGCTTTCTTAACTCAGACATAGAAGAGAATAAGTGTAGCTCAGGGTTGAACTGTGGAGTCCCTGGGGTTCTCTGAGCTTGGTTCTTTTCTTGC